CGAGCCTCTTCATCACGCTCATAAGGGGTCGGTAGTTGATGCTACGGCGTCGGTACCTCAAGGCACTCAAGGCCTTCACGACATGCAGACTTACTACGCTGGACCTGAGGGCTGGGCCATCATATCTGGTATGTTCCTTTGATTACTGGCCATCGACCGTAAAGACTAACACGGCTCAGATGTCGACGACACCATCAAAGTCACCTTGACCAGCGATCCACTAGGCATCCTCAAGACCACCTTTGTCGACGATCCAACACCAGTGCCTGGCATGCCAGAGCTTTACTCGGAACTTCAGACTCTTCTTCCTCGCGATACTCCGTGGTTCTACCTCTCGGCATCCCCGTACAACCTGTACCCTCTTCTTCGAGAATTCCGAGACCGCTACTTCCCGCAAGGGACATTGATCCTCCGAGATTCGAGCTGGCGCACGGTAGCAGGCTTGTTGTCGGCGCTGACAATGGGAACTGAGGAGTACAAGGCAGATCGCATGAAGAAGATTCACTCGTGGTTACCGAAGAGAAAACTCATTCTCATTGGCGACTCGACACAATCCGATCCCGAGGCATATGGCGAGATGTAAGTCGCTCGGATTGATGTAGCACCTCTTTACTGATTCGCTTGTAGTTATCGAACATTCCCTGGCTGGGTCAAGATGATACTCATCCGCAAGGCCACAGACGTCGCTGCGATTGGCATTGAAGAGAAGAACCAGCTAGAGAGGTTTGAAAAGGCATTCAAGAATGTACCGGTTGAGGCGTGGCATGTTTTCGAGGAACCGAGTGAGTGTAGGAACATTGTTCGGGATGTTGTTCGCAAGAGGGCGTAAGAGGTTATTGTTTACACTATAAGCAATGGACTTGTGTGAGAAGGAATAGGAGTGTTGTATAGCTGTACACAATGCGCACTGGATTATCATAGAGTGGTTAAGATATTTTATTGTTTGGGGGTTGTTATGGGCCATGACAAATGATGCATGCTTGCAAGAGAAGTACAGTTAAATAATTGAGATAAAGTTTGTCCTACTCTTAGACGTCAGGACCTGGCAGGCTGCAGAAGTGAAGAAGCCTGCTTATCTGCCCTCATTTTTTCTGAGTGTCTATTACCAAACGGGATGTTTATCACGGCAATCTCAGAGAACTCTGTCTCTAGCATTCTTGCTCAAAGATACTCATTAGTGTGATTGACTGCAAGCTTTTTATCAGAAACAAAGCTGGTGGCATATTGTAGTCACCCAATCACAACAAATGGTGAATCATTGTTGAACCAACGTGCATAAGTTACTGTGACATATATGGTGAGCCAACCACTAATTAATCGATCTACAAATGATTTGGCCTGTTGTTCTGGCTGTATCCTGTAGTTATTAATATCTGTTGACTTTGCTGCCCGCTTCTCATTTTCCAACGTTTCTCTCACATCCGACACTACCTACACCAACTTTCACTCCACTCGATACAGCATAATTTTTCGCAAATGTCCCGCCTGAGATTCATGATATGATCTTGATCAACTTGTTTGGCAAACGCCGACTCCGTATTGAATGGGCTCCGCAGCCGAACGGCAACGATTGGGAGCAGAAGGCAAGGAATCGGCCAAATGTGCTCCAGTGGACGCATTTTGTTTGTTTCAAAGGGTTATCTCAACATTTTCATGATGACGAAGATGATCAACATTGGAGATACTATTTGTCGTCGGGGTTCATTCTTACCTGCAAGCGAGCGTTAGCCATCCTTCTTGTGCTCACTGCTACTGTTTCTAATGGCCAAACTGCTGCTAGCTTTGAGCAAGGTGTAAAGATTCTATACTAGACAAACACTTTCGAGTTTGGATCTATGAATGAATTTACGGAGTTTCAAAGATATCAGATTGCTCCAGATCTGAATCATTTACTCACCCACATCGATCGAATTCAGCGATCTGGTCTGCTATGGGAGCGAACTCGAAAAGATGAGGAGACTACAACCTATCGGGTTCACTATGCTGTGCTATAATCTGTCAAAGAAGAAGCAGGATCTCAACCTGCGCTTTCATGTGCACATGAGCAATGGGGAGCCATGGCCCAGACACACTGCTGAGAGCAAGAGACTTGCAGGCCAGGCTGTCAAAGTCGGTCTTGAGACGCTTCTTAGCAATGGACGGGTAACTTGTGTAATTGATGGCCGTGGCATGGACGGTTTCTCGGAAATTGTGAAGGAAATATGATCGAAAAAGCGAGAGGGAGGACTGAAGCTTTACATGTGTCCTCACAAGCCTCTAAGCTGCTATGACTCGTCTTCTGAGGGGGAACAAGATGACGACTCTTCAACTGATGGTGAGAGCAATGGCCAGGTTGATTAAGAATGACAGTGACGTGTAGTAGGACTTGGAAGGAGACTTGTAAGGTACCCAAGAAGGCTTTGAGTCCCCGTGTACAGATGCATCCCGTAACTGGGCAGCTCTATGGGTGCAGAATCATGGGGGTCAACAACACGTTTCCCCGTTCACTTGTTCTTGTGAGAGTCGACCCTTAGCCTCAATTATCTCTAACTAGCGCATCTCTCGTATCTCTTTTCCCGCCTTTTTTTTTTCCTTTTCCCGTCATTTCCCAATGTACAACGCCGGGCAGAGTCGAATATGTATAGCGTCCTCATGTGTCTGTGTAAATCATGATTGGCTGTCTTTGAATGCACGGGAATATCATCCAATCGGTTCTGATTCCTCGTACACATCAACGGCTAAACCGACGGCCTTTCGGTATTCATATCAGTGGTTGCCGACTGCTATATACTCTACCTCCCACATCACATATTTCGCACACTACAGGATCATCATGAATGATAAAGACCAAGATATCCCTTCTGTTATCACAGGCGGATGTCTCTGTGGTGCTATTCGGTACACCGTCAACTTTAACCAAGAGCACCCGTGGCCACCAATTGTGAGTTATGCCCGCATTATCTCTAATCGCCTGAGCTAACTCACTTGCGAACAGTCATCAGCATGCCAATGTATGTATATTTCTACCAAGAAACTCCAAGATAACTGGCAAACATAAAACAGGTACCATGTGTCGCAAGTGGACATCTTCCTTGACCGCCCAATTCCTTGTCATATCCCCCAAGCAAATCAATCCAGCACTAAACACTTTTCTGTCCTTCAAAGAGTACGTGTCCTCACCAGGTCGATTCCGTGGTTTCTGCGGTGACTGTGGCACGTCGATCGCATGGCGCTCAGTCGATTACACCCCAATATTTGATCTATATTTGGGGACACTGGATGAGAAATACCTAGTCGGAGATGGTGTCGTGGCGAAGACTCTCGCAACTCCAAACGGAACGCAGTACTGGCTGCAAAACGCCGTTCATGGTGTTACTGATGTGCTTGAGGGCGGGAAGAAGTACAGTGAAGAGGGTCCCGACGGTATACGAGAGGGAAAAGATTCGGTGACTCGGGAGGACTACGGAAATATCGAGGTTTTTTGCGGTACGCAAACGAGATGTGAGGACCTGAAGTCCCTACCATCTTCCGCACCTTTTCCTCAAAGCCGCGAGGCATGATGACGACAACAGCACTCAGCTTTGGAAGTGCGAGGAATCGCTCTAGCGCCTCTACAGCCTTTTCTTTGCGAGCTTGAGTGAAGGGCCTAAAACCATAGAGCGAACAATGGGGTAAGGCAATGTCAATCTTGACTTTGACATTGTCATGCAGAAGGTAGCGGCCAAGAGCCGAAGTCAGCACATCAAGGTCTAGGGTGGCCTTTTCGTCATGATTCTCAAGAATGCACTCGAGCTCGTAAGATCGAATGTGGCGGACAATCGTCGCTGGGGTGTATGCAAAGAAATCGACGACATCGGATGGTACGTTGAAGTGGAATGTGTTAAGTTGATAAAAGAGGTATACTCCCTCGTTGAAGCTGTCCAAGTCAGTCGATCCATTCGCCATGGAAACTTGTAAGAATACGCTTACGCCGCTTTGCAGGTTAAGAGTATATTGGTGTGTATCTTTCCGCCATAAAGGCATTTCATTCGACATTCGACACCACGGATCCCACGTTCGTAAAATATTTGAACATGTGTACTAGGTGATCCAAGAAGCTCGTGATAAATAAGTTGCCTAACATCGTGATTGAGCTTGGTGAAGAATAGGGACTTCTGGGGAGTCTCCGTATATTGCTGCAACCGAGACGATTGCATGATCACGGTAGGAAGATCTTCGTCTTACTCGATGAAAAGGCCTACGCAAGTTGTTCCCAAAGTACACAAAAGTTTGGCTAAGCTTCGTAAGCTGAATGGTACTCGAGTCAGTGTATTCATAGGCCACAGGCCATAAGCAGTTGTCCCAAGCGTCTTCGCTTCAGCTGGATATACAAATTTTCAGATGTATGACTTGGAAGTTGACAGTTGAGGTTGGCTCAAAGAGACTTTCCAGTTTTGATAGTTTTGAGGGGATCTAAGGAAATAAGGATAAGGAGAAAAGGAAAAAGGAAAAGGGAAAGAAGGGGAAAACGGACATAGAAAATGGAATAAATAATGGTTCATAATCAAGGCATTAAAGAATTTCGAGACAGTGAAGGAGCATGGATTGCACTGACAAACAATTTGTTCCAAAGGATAAAGGGGAAGCATCTCTGTTGAATTCACGCCATGCGCGGTTCAGTTCTGGAAACAAGGTCTTCATAATAATCTCAATGAATATGCAAACAGTCACCAGTTCTAATCTTGACGTATGGAACTAAATCTATCACTGCTCTGTCAGTGGTGACCACTCGCGATCCAAAGCGTTGGATTTCGTCCACACAACTTCGCTATCAAGAAGATTCACGTCTTTTATTGAGACCAACAGCATATACTACACGAGAAGGTAACTCTCAACGCTCCTCAACCCACACGCCATATTCGCTACTGGTGCGTCAGGATCAAGCACTGAATACAATATATGTCCCAAGCCCTGGATAGATTCGCCATTCCCGGCCTGACAATGCACCTTGTGGTGCATACTTGTCTTGGAGGAGTATGGTGTTAGAAGTCCCCTCGCGTGGGAAACACGACGAGGCCGTAATTCTCGTCATCAGACTCTGGGCCTTCCTCCTCAGAATTGTCTTCAGGTTCATGCTCGAAATGGCAGACAGTCTTTTGCCAAGCCTGCCAATCCCGTTTTTCTCCCATTTCCACAAAAAATTCTAATGTTCCCGGCAGATAAAGATCGAGCATCGACACCGAGCTTTGGTTCAGAGCATACAGAAACCCTTTTAACCCGTCCAACATCTTGTCCGCGACATCATAGATAAAACCGGCATCATTATCGATGGACAGGAGATGGTGTACGTCGATTCGGACCTCCACGTTTTCCTTGAGTGAGGTGTGAGGCATCAGAGCTGCCAGCTGGTAGAAGTCAACATAATAGTTGTCGTAATAGTTGTGTCGGAGGTATAACTGGAGCCACTTGATATACTTTTGCTTGGTGGTAACCCAAGAGCTGAACATGGCATAATCTTACAGATCATCGAACATGAACTGGTTGGTACCATAGAGCACATGGAGGCCGCTCTGAAAGCTGCCGCTTGTCAGTCTTGGTTCGGTGGTCCTATTGATTTGGCTTACTCACGCCCACTTGCAGGTGAACATAACGTTCGCAGAAAGTTGGCACCATTTATGGTCCTTTTCTGAATGTTGATGCGGAAGAGCTCCCTTGCCTTTTCTGCAGACGCAGTGACACCATCCAGGGACCTTTGAAGGTTTAGGGCGACCCTCGCGTTTGAACTGATCCTTGCTTTGATGAAACTTGATATGCACGGTTGACTCTCCAAAGAGGTATATGAAGATCAGGCGCCTGAGTTCTGGGGGTAGCTTCGTAAAGAACGAGGAGTTTTCCTGGGCGTTGCCCTTTTCGAACTCGGTCCCCATGTTGATGAAGTTCGTGAGATTTTTGCGGTGTTGATGGTGATGCGAGAGAGAGAATATGGAGGAGAAAGATAAGAGGACCGAGGAAGAGAGTGATGGGAAGGAATTGTAAACATGTGCAGCCCATTCATAAAGTACCTAAGGTAGATCTATGGCAGTGTTTGCCAGTGCTTAAACATGCCGAGTTGAATTATTTATCATTTATGCCCATAGGATGGCTTGCTTCTTCATTCATTGAAATTCACTGGAAATCAGCCCCAGCCTTGCCGGTATCTAGGTATGTTCAGTTACTTGCCTTGCTGAAACCACGCTCGCTTACCCTTCGATTACATGCTAGTGAACTTAGCCTCCTTGTGAACTAAAAACTTCTGTCGTACCATCAATTCGAGCCAGGCTCGCTGCAAGCCATTTAAGGGGCGACTTTCATGCTGCATCTGGATTATCAAAACCACTACCTCAGCTCTAAACATACCAACCACATCAAACGACATGCGCCGTATCGTGAACCCTAATATTTCTTTTTAACAGTCACTGTTTCATCATTTCTGTGGTTCTCTATAGTGCAGCTTGCAAATTATTCATTCGAACTTGAGGCTGTCCTCTCCTCCTAAGAACAATGTGAACCATACCTAAAACCGACCCTCACCTGTAAGTCAATCCGACATCATTTACTGATCAGTATTCATAATTCTACTGGCTATATTCCGCTTTATCTGGTCGTGGAGCCTAGATTCTGCACACAGTGGTAGTCCCGTCGGAAGAGATCACGCCTGTTCACGAAGCTCGACTGGAAGCTTCGCTGGTGTACATATTTCGAGACATTCGATCGCTCCAGATTTTGCGTTGCTCTCTTTGAATCCAAAGAATCGAAGAATTGTTTCTGTCATCCTGGACCGACGGGTTGCTGACGCTACCGTAGATGCGATGAGAGTTCACCTCCTCCAGTGCCCGATGAGTCTCGCTTCCTGTCAAAGGCCGGGCAACGTCGGGAGGGAATGAATCTTTTTTGACTTGCCAAAGAGTGCGAGTTCCCCTCTCTTATTGTATTGCTCGCCAGAAAGGCATTGACGCAGTTTCCATCTAGGTACAGCGAGCTCTCTCAATACTAACCTCGAATACCCTGGTTTTCCACGATCCAAAGCAATTCCGTCTTTAATTGCATCATCCTCCTTTTAGGAAAAAACGCTACAGGGACTAGATCATTTGAGTTCTATTGCCCCTTCGAGTTGAGTGAGCCAATAGGCAGTCCTCAGCTCGAATGGCTCACTGAGATTTTCCCAGTCCTCTATATGGCGATCAGTTCACGCCCCGGCGCGAAATAGCTCTCCGTCTTTATGGTATCTTAGGAAAAGGCACCAATACTGAGCATAGTTGCACACCCGAGGCTAAAGAGAGCCTCTTGGGCTCACTCCGGCGCTTTGTGTTCCAGTCTACGATGGGAGGTTGTATCTTCTTGCCGGGAAATTTGAAGAAGCCAGCACGCGATATGGCCGTGATGTGCTTTCAGGAGAAACGCCTCACTTCCGACCTAGAAGATATCAGAGACGGCCAAAATCCACTGCTGACAGGTCCCAACAGTTGAAGAGTTTGGATATCCGTGGATGAATGGATGCTTATTGGCATTCAGCGTAGGTAAGTCGAGATAGATTCAGTACAACGGCCTCTCTGTAGTTGATTACAGGGGGTTGCTGCGGGTTGACCAGTCAGGTATTGGCTAGGCGGCTTCCCCAGACGGGAACTTGAGGATATGATTGGTAGAAACTCGTTATCTTATCGGTCTGGAGGGGTACCAGCACACAGACAAAGATTTCTGTGAATTTGTCCAATTCTGATGAAAAGATGACAGCTTCAGGTTGAGTGAGAGCAACGACAACAATGCGGTTGTCCTTTGGCCAATTACTTGTCACCCATTCTTTTATTCTTTTCGTTGTTTATAGCACAAATTGAAATGTCAGCCTGACTATCATTCTTTCTCTTCAATGTCAAAGAGAACCAGCAACGCATTCATGGCGGATAGACAGTGCCATCACGTCCGAAACCAAAAGATGAAAGGTCGAGATTCGAGCCCAGAATTTCCACCACGAGAGGGAACCTCCTCCTTCGATTTCACGTGCCAGCGGAATTACCCCAAGAGGACAAGGAGCGGGAACTTGCTGTGAGGCACGAAATAAGGTAATCCAACAGATCCAATGGGAGCTCCCAGAGTGACACGATGCATGGAATAGAATAAGCACAGACCATTCCACGCCCGATGCCGGATCCCGGTGTAAGCGCTCTCGAAAAGACAGCGAGAGTGAGGTTTGGTGAGGCGAAGGAGGAGGATCTTTGAAACAACGAGTGAAGATTGGCACTGAATGGAAGATCGGGCCTTTTGGCTTTGGAAGTATTACGCGAGGTCAATTCCACCTCAAGAGTCTGTCTATCCAGAACTAGTAGTCTTGCGTGCAGAGAAGAGCATCGGGATTAGCTGCCCATACGTCGTCAATGATCCATCAGATAAAGCTTTACAAACACGAACTTCACAATAACAGCCATTGTACTCCGTACTCCGTATAACAACATCCATCCATAATGAAGAGACATCTCGTTGCATGTGTCGGGCTCTCTTACCAAATCCATTATTAGCGATGCTTCCCCAGCCGCAGACACGACGGGAGATGCGACTCAGACAGGACAGTGGAGGCTGAGTACGTATCTTTTTTTTTTTTTTTTTTTACTCATAAACCACATGTAATCTGAATCTGTCATAGCCTGTTCTCGACACGGGATTGGTCAAAACACCATCTTGATTCAGAGATATCAACTTTTTTATTTTTCAACAGCATCAATCACAACAACTGCAAAGACCAAAGACCGCGGGGGGACGAATGCCACGTCTTACGATTTGAACATCATGTAATTAAATGTTTATTGTCCTCAATCTGTCATAGTCTTGAGTCCCGTCGTAAGTAGTAAACAGATTGAGTACCTAGTTAGTCTATGATAGTAACTCGGAATGCCATTATCAATCAAGATGATTTCCAATGCTCGCTGAATCCTTCGCTATTCGGCATTACCACTCCCCCCGTATTACCTACCTACCTCCCTCCTCTGGCCCTCCTCTCCAATTTGTAACGCTCGTCTTTTCACGCTTGTATGTCGGCGTCTTAGGCCCTACATTAGCTCTGTCTGGACCATGTGCCTCCGCTCCTCTCCGCTCCGCATAGAGCGGCAGCTAAACTCACCCAGTGTAACAACGTTTCGCGTTCGGAGCCCGGACCAGGGGGGAGGAGCACCTCAATTACGTAGGTAGGGTCCAGCAATGACATGGACGCGGCCTTAGCTTTTATTTCCCTTGATGGCTGAGGCCTTTGTTTGGTGAGATCACGTCAATGGCCAGCCTCGGATGGCACGGACACGGCACGGAGCTCTTCGCTTGCGCTGTACAGACAGACCAGCATAGCCATGTGCCGTAGCAGACGTATGTAATAGTATGTACGGATATACAGCAGAGTAGTAGGGTAGTAGAGGACAAGACCCTCCAGCCTCGTCTTGACTTGAGAAACCATCATCACTCGCAGACGCGCCCATCTGTCCGCTTTCTAAGGTTAGGTAGTCTCTAGTCTACCCACCTCCTCCACCAACCACATAATCATAATCCTCCCCCGGACGCCGTGCCCCAGACGAGCATTCTCTCCCAAAAAGGCAATATGTGTTCCCCCGCGCAAACGAACCTCTTGAGTTTCTGCTGCCAATCCCGGAAGAAAAGCGAAGGGGGTGTATGAATGGGCGGAAAAGGGGGGGAGCTTCTCCAACCAAGTGCCATGATGTTCAAGACGGCAAATGGTAGATTGATTATCAATGTGTGTGCATCGGGATGTAAACTTGCAGTCAAGATGGTGGCCATGTTCGGAGTTTGGGGTAGTAGTGAAGAGCATCCAGCTGGGCATTTAGTTATTAGCTACTCCAACTTTCGGTTCGGTTTGAGGATGCCGGTGAATTTGCTTACGGTGCCTGGAGTTATCGGTTCGGGGATTTGTCTTGGCTTTGGCTTCCCATTCACCTTTGACCTCAAGGTAAATAAGCTGTAGCCCTGAAGACGGCTGCTTAACCCCGTTGATTCAAGGTGATAGACCACGCCATTCCGTCCAACTCCGGTCGTCAACCCCAGACATCCAATGCTGGAGTGTTGTAATGCAGGACGGTATATCCGCCGACGGCATCAATGGCCGACTTGTCTCGACTCATGCAAGATGGGCTTTGTGGAGGGATGATCACCATCTTCTCTCGGCTTATGATCAACTTCCTTGAGGCCGTCCATCGGAGGCTGTCACAAGTAAATCTGGTCTCCGTCTCTCGTTGCCTCTCATGGCAAAATGCAAGTGAATGCACATGCGAGGTAGCGGAGTCTTTGGCCCTGCTGTACGGAGTACGTAGCTGTAGCATCCATGGGCCCCATGTCGACTATCCCACGTCTTGGGGCAACTCTATCGTTGGATGTCTCTGCTGTGCCACTGGGCAAGAGGGAAAGTCAACAAACTCATCCCACTCTTCTACTTCGTTTGGGCAGAATTGCTTCTGATTTTTGGGTGTGGGTAACGTGTTGTTCTGTGGACATGCAGCTCAATGCCACCAATTGTGGCCTGTTTTTTTCCCTCTCTCTCTCTTGGTCGTGTCGAGGTTTTTCTTCCCTGGTGGATGTGGATTCCCAACTTTTTAGCTCGCTTGGGCCCAGTTCGCGCCATTTTGACGGGACTGGCACTAACAGAAGCCACTAGCAGCTGCCTAGGGACGTTCCCTGTAAGTGACCTGACGGGAGTCTCTGTGCGTCGGTGGGTGCGTGCGTGGGTTACCATAACCATAGGTACGCTTCGGTGCGGTACAGCCTGGACCTGGACTGGGCTTGGCTGAGAGTTACTCCGTACCTTGGCCTGAGCTAACTAACGTGCTTCCATTCACTCCATCCCATCCAACCCAAAAAATTCCTCAAATACATAATCGCGCCCTCTCCCACGTTCGTCTCT